TAACAACATTTTAGAAGGTGGGATAGTCCCTTTAACCCTCGCATGTGTGCGGCGTTTGCCAGCTTCTAATGTGTAGGGGGGGGTCGGTTGGACCCCCCCCCTTGCCGTTTGGCCCCTGATCGAGCTAGAGCTTCGCGGAAAAAACGAGCGTGTTGCCCGTGACGAGAGGAAGCTGATGATACCCAATTTTAAGGTCCTAGGTCATTGGTTGACCTTCCAGGTCAGGTCAATGACCCCAAAGTCGGGAAAATCGGGACCTGTTAGAAAGTCGTAAAGAGTGGCTGCTAAGGGGTTTTTCGGGGTGCTGATCACGAATATCGTGTTAGTTTTGATCACAGATGATGTCTTGAAGCATTTAGACCAGGTCGGGTCAGGTCAGGTCAGGTCAACCAGTAGGCGTCGTGACGGGTATTCGTAGTACGTGTCAACCGCCTCTGACAGCTTCGTAACATGTTACGAAGTCACCAAAACTACTTCGTAAATGCTCAAATGGTTGCTAAATTCGAATTCAGCTCCAAAAACTAGCCTAGAAACATGTAAAACTCGAAAAAGTGAACCGAGGTCACCCGAGGTCACCAAAGGTCAATGACCTGACCTGACCTTCAGGTGACCTTGACACCCACGGGAGTAACATCAAATTACATGTTTGAACTTTTGAAACCACGAAAAGCTTGCAAACGCGCGGCTAATGCGAGCCGACATACGCAGAATCGCGATTCCGGCCAAACATGGTCTCGGAAAAGAGGTCACAGGTCAAAGGTCATTTGGGTCAGGGTCATGAAATTTTCAGGGTAGGTGTAAAATTGATCAATGTGAGGGTACTGAAAGTTTCGTCGCGATCGGCCGCTTTTTACGCGAGTTATTCGCGAAAAACCATGGGGGGGGTCCATCCGACCCCCCCCCCTACACATGCGAGGGTTAAAGGGACCCTCCCACCTTCAAAAAAGTTAATAAATTGGCACGAAAGTGATGTCGCTCGGTTCAGAAAGAGCGAAAACGAATATCTACCAAATTTCATCGAAAAATATTCACCGGTTTTCAAGATATTAGACTTTTACTTTTGTTTACTTTTTGGGATCTCCGCTGTTCCTAGCGACTTTATTTGAAAGTGCGGCATTTGTTGCGCGCAAAGGGGTGCAGTTATTTTTTTACATCTTAGTTTTTGTTTACGCGTTTTTAGACGATTCTCGGCGCACTGTTGTTGAAGTTATACAGGTCTATTTTACAGCTATTTTCGATTCACAAAACTGCTGCAATTTTTATAACTTTTTTTTTGCATATTAGCATTTTGATGGAATTGGAATGCATTAAAAGATTTTTATTCTTAAATCTTTAATGCCAATATAATAACAATGTGAATCGAGCCACGCTCGTAGCGAAATATTACGAATCAATGATAATAACAGTAACAGGCAGAAAATATGTAGTTACCGCGATTGTATTAGATAATACTATATGTTCCGCGTGAAATTGACAGGAGATACCACAAGAATAATAGCCTAAACAAATATTGAAATAACTGAAAGCTCATAATACCCGATTAGCATTGCTAACGCTGACCATTTTCTTCGATCATTAAATGCTTACCATACCATAACATCTGAAGATAATGAACTTGAACCTCGAAAAGCGAGTTGTCCAGTTTCAGTCTCCGTTTGTGCGGTACTGGGACACATTCATTATCAGTGAATCAAATAAAAATTGTCCAGGGCATCATGCTGTGATTATATGAACCAGTTAATATGTATAAAATCTAGTTATTGGCCAAACGTAACGACCACGGACCGTAGGTTGACGACCCCGAAATTTAGCGAAATGAAGTATAGGTTCAAGCAGTTTAAACTTTAAATAATGCTGGTGCGTGGAGTTGAATAGTGATGTAACGGCCACAGTCTACAACCACGATAACAAATATCGATTGCGCTTCGCTCAACCAGCTCGTTCTTGCTCAAGAAGCAGTGCATCCCTATAAAATGAAAAGTCTGAACGAATGCATTCAGGTTCCTACCTCTGAATCACCTTATATTGAGATCCGTTTCTTAACAGGAACACAAACGCGGCCCATCAATTCGTCAGTACTAAGGCAACAACGTCTGACAAGTGACAACGCATCAAATGGCCAACTTCTGACACTTTCTACCAATACGGTAACGGCAATAAAATTGCATTGCAAAATGCAAATAAAATTGCACGATTTCCAAGCGCAGTTTGAAACCAAGTGCGACCAGCTAGTGTCATTTTCACAACCAAGTGCGACCAGTTAGTGTCTCGAGACACATTACAACTGCATAGGTACCGCAGTAACACATTAGGGGCGAAAGGAAACACATGACTTGTGTACGACCAGCGTTCTGTCAGCGCACGACACATAAAGCAAACTGCTCAAACAACTGCGGTCCCGAACAACACAACACAGAGCTCCGAAACGAATGGTTTACAAAAGTCTACGACTGACGACATCGAAACAGTACGTTCATCGGGACTAGTCACATGACTCGCTCAACCCAGCTGGGTTATGGGTACTAATTGCGCTTCAAATTGGCCTCTGACAGCCATTTACTTATGCTAGTTTGATGCATAAAACTGTACATTGAAACTCAAGCGGCAGCACATAGGTCTCCATCAAGGTGGTTATATACAACAGAGCACCACGCTAAAACGAGCGCGAGCCGCACTGTAACAGACAGAACACTGAGCCGCGAGTCGTGACAGTCGCACTGCGTCATATGCACGCAGATGTCGCACTCACGGCACCGTTGCTGGCACTGCGCTGCGGGTGGACACGCGCGGTGCAGTAGCTCCACGGTGTGCGGCTCACCGGAGGGATTACCAGTCTCCGACCGGACAGTCCAGGCGGGAAATGCGGTGTCTTCAACCATGACCGCCGTCCCCGTCTCCGCGGAGTGCCGAACGGCGGCGACGCGGCGGCGTCGGATCTTGAGCTGGTGGACACTTGTACTCCTGCCAGAGCTACCAGCTTCAGCCCTTCAGCATCCTGTCATCAGCAAACTCCAGCAGAGCTCCAATGCAACTGGGAAAATAAAATTTATGCTGTTAAGCTAAATCATGCAAAACATTTCCTTGCACAGGATTCTCTTGCGCAGTTCAGCAAAATCTTCTGTGATATCCATGGCCATGACAAGAGGACTTTATGCCATTGTAAAAAAGATAGGTTCATTGGTTCTCATTTACCCACATCGAGCTTCTATAGGTACCATTCATTTGTATATCATGAAGTATGTTAACTACACAATATTTATGCAATAGACTGACATGAAATATGTAGGAATGGCAAGAGAGATGGGTAAATAAGCCAAATAGGTTGCAGGATTTATTGGCACCAAAGAGGTCAGAAAGTAGAAGTTCAAACAATCTTACAAACTACACCAGAGAAAGTCTTTGAATTAGGTACAAAATTATGCCACAGAAATAAAAGCAATGCAGTTTTGTAGAGTATTTCCCAAAAGATAATTGTCATTCAGCCTTGCTCCCATTCTGAGATTGAATAAATACAAATTATGGGGTGAAAGTTACTAAAAAGCAGTTTTTTTTAAAAACAGTTTCACTTCATGTTTGCCTGATTTCAAACTCAAGGCAACATATCATAGCTTTGACAGCATGAAATTTCATTATTGAGGTTACAATTTCCATAATCTTGTCACAAACAGTGCACTTTAATATGGATAACTAACACCAAATCAGCCAACCTTGTATCTTTATCTGGTGACACTCAAGAAACCAATAAAGCAAACAATTTCTGAGCAAAACATTTAAGTAATTGACAAGATCAAGCACCATGCAGCCACTGGAGTATGATGGGGTCTCGTAACTTGAACGTTCAGTCTGTAAGAGCATGCCTGACTTGACTTAACAGATTTGAGGCATCACAAAGACCTTTGCAGCAGCTCCTTCTATTCTTTTTTTAACATTAACTTTAACTATCATTACCATGCTATGATGATGAGATGGCTGGTTTCGGGAGCATGAAAAGTAGCAGCCCTTCTTTCATTCTATTTCCTTGTTTTCACATGCTGCACAAAATGTTTTTTCTTCCACGTTCCTTCTGTCATTATAAAAAATAATAGGTATCATAATTGCTTCACTTCTTCCTTATATTTCAAGTATTGCTGCTGCAATTCATCACATCTCCCGTTAGTAAACCATTGCCCTATGCCCGCTAAAGTAAATAAGTGGAATGCGCCAGAAATTGTCAAAATCGCGCCAAAATAGCAAACTAAGATGAGAAAAAATAACCGCACCCGCGCAAAGCAGCATATACCACCGCGTGCTACCAAACGTTTTAGTAAAAGATTTAAAAATCGTTAGATCTCCGCTGACGTCACAAATTCTAAGGGGGCATACCAATGCACTAGCCCCTTAGAATCCGAAAACTGCAAGTTTGAAATTCCATATCTCCGAATTAAAGCATTTGTCGATGTTGTGAGTGCCCAAACCGGTATTTGCAGGCCATGGCCACCAATTTGGCTATCTCAACTCAAAACTAATGTTAAGGTGGGAGTGTCCCTTTAAGAGGAAACAATTATTTACCTAGTTCGGTTTGACAGTACAAGGCGTAAAATTTACGGCGTATTCAAAATAGCCTTGTTATACAAATACAGAAGCAACGTGTACCAATCCCATCGCCTTTTTTCTTCCACCCGTATTTAATTGATCGCATAGGGGATGTACTGAGTAGAAGCCGGAGCCGGAGCCGCCGGAGGCGGAGCCACCGGAGCCGGATCATTTTACTCGGAGCCGGAGCCGGAGCCGGAGCCGCCATGACATTTCACCCGGAGCCGGAGTCGATTTTTTTCTCCGGAGCCGGAGCCGCTTGAAATTTCCACGGCTCCGCATCCCTGATTATTATGGTACGTTTTGATCATATTACAGGCATCTGCCGAGTATGCCGGCCGCTACACACAAAACATATCAATTCACTGCAGCTAAAAAAAGGCCGTCTGAAGTCTGAACGAAGTCTGAGCGTTTCATTCACAACTTACCTTCAGGTACTTATGACGGTCGTTAAAATCTGTTTTCGCCTTTTAGATATGTGAACTTCCTCGAAGCGATCCAAGCGGAGGGCCTTCTTCAGTCAGGATTAGATTCTTCAATCGCCTCACCGCCTTCGGTATTCTTCAATCTCCTCTTCAATCGTCTGCGCTGAGTTGTCATTCAATTCAGGGAGCCAGGAGGAACAGGAGAGTGAAAGAATTTGACTACGATTAGTTTTGCTTTTGTAAGGTCTAACTTTTACGTAGGCTTACAGACAGAAGATGGATTCCTCTGGTCACTGGTGATTCGACGATAAGGGAGTAGGCTTCAGGCCGTAGGAAGATGATGATGCCACGCGGATGAGACAATCTCCAGAGAGCGAGAAGATCACTCTTCTAAGATCGTCACCCCCGGGCCCGAGATAGAAGGAATAGGAAGCGCCCCGACCACCCCGCGCACAAGCGGTCGGCGACTGCCCACAGAAGCTCGAGCGCAGTGCAACAAGCTTACCGCTGCAGAGCTTACAAGCTTCCCTTCATCGCCGCCAGGGGCAGCACTGTTCCACACTTCAGCACTGTTCAACGAGGCCCCACGGCTCGCGCCTCGTGCACGGCGCACACAGACATACACACGACGTGCATACACCGCTCGCCGTCACCGACGCTTGTCGGACGCCAACTGAAGGTGGGCAAATTCGGCCAGAGTGGTACACGCACGTGTCTGGCGTCGTGCCAAGTGTGTCGGGGAGGTGTTGTAGTTACGGATGTATATGCGCTTCACAAACACACTCGGGAAACATGAGAGTGGCAGGGGAGGACGCCATGGGAGGGGAGGGGAGGGGGTGGCTTTGGGGTAACATGACAAGTGCTAGTGATGGCGTGCTTTATATCATAACAATAAATGTAGTCTCGGTAATTATATGTTAAAACGTCTAGACGTAGTTACACCACTTTTTATGAGCCCTGGAAAGGCAAAGGTTAACAATAAATTGTAGAAGGTTTCCTGATCGAATAGCCACTTCTTATTTAGTGCCTCGACTGAAATAAACACTACCTGTCGTTAGATAAAAAGTTGCATTTCTGAGCCGATAAAGATATAAAGGAGTTATAATAAATTTTGCCCACGACCAGTGAATGACTATCTGTTTTCCCGTCTCATCTCGGTAATACCTACCTATAGGTCTAATATATATATCAGCCATTATAAACATTTGGTTAACCCGCGCCCGGCTGGGGGTCCTGGATTTCCACGCCCTGCTGGGGGGGGGGGTTTGAACACCCCCCCCCCCTTCTAACTCGGCTCCTGGGCCACGTAGCGATACGCGGAAGGCGGCGTTCGAAAGAGCGTCAAAAATAATGAGGAAATCACTTCGGTCAATTTTTTGGTCAGGTCAAAGGTCAGGTCACCAGAGGTCATTGAAGGCAAAATTTCGCCGATTTCCAGGTCGAATGTCGACAATTTCCAAGAAGCCAACGCATAACTCGGGAACCAATAGAGCTACAGCGCCGCGGAAAAGCGCATTCGATAGCCCTATTAACGCCCTTTCTGAGTAATTCTCTCAGATTTGACCTAACGTCAACGGTTTTGCCTGCAGGGGGCAAAAACTGCAAAAATAGCCGATTTTTTCGGAAACAGTTTTTCTGCAATAACTTTTGACCCAAGCCTTGTACGAGCTTACTTTTACCGGCATCGTGTTCCTCTCGTCAAGACGCATCGAATGAACTACAACTTGACCTTGAAAGGTCAACTTGAAAATTTGACCTCAGGTCAAGGTCATGACCTGACCGGAAAGGGTCATGTTGCATATCAGTCGATCCGTATCGTCGAGCTGAGCACATCTAAGGCGTTTTCATCGCTCTAGCATGCCTCTATCAAAAGTTATTTGCGAAAAACTGTTAGATACCATTCGTGACCTAAGATGACCTCAGGGCATAAACAGGGGTCACGGACACCATTTTCATGTTCAGTGTGTCTAAACCACTTGTAATTCAGTGTTTGGGAGTGTTTATAATGTCTTTCGACCAAAGGAGGCGCATTTCAATTTTCTCCCATTGACTTATAATGGGGAGGTCGCAAAATTGACCTGACCTTAGGTCATCGATATCAAAATTCTGAGATATACATTTTGTACATGCTATTGCTCTTAGCAATCGCTGAAAGTTTCAAAGCGATCGGTCACTCGGTGTAGCTATGACAGACATTGAAACTTTTTATGAGGTGAGGTCACTTCAAGTGACCTGGTGACCTGACCTTGAATGACCTTGGTCTGAAATTTTCACAACATGTGTAGAATTGATGTATGATAAGGTGTACCAAAAACGGTGGCGCTCCGCGCCGCCGTTTTTGAGATATTCGCGAAAAACCACAAGGGGGGGGGGTGTTCAAACACCCCCCCCCCCCCAGCAGGGCGCGGGTTAATGGGATTCAACGCCTCAAAGTCCTGAGCAAAAATGTTTATAGTGTCTCTAGTTGTGTGCCTTGTAACTTTGTATTATTGTTTGTTTTGTATTTGTCACATAAGTAAATTTTTGTGTACTCTTTAGGCCAACTCCTGCTCTCTAACGTGTCTTGCCCGTTAGTTGTCTGGTCGCGAACCGACCTTGGGTGAGTGGCAGACCACCTATGGCCACATAGTGTCACGTAGAACATCTCACTCTTAGCTAATTTACAAAGGCGACAATGCTTGATTTACATTATGTCTAGAAAAATCACCAATCAGCACGCTTCAACCCGTGGTGTCACATCGTGACGGTTCGCTGGGGTTCAGGCTACCCATTGTGCCGTGACGCCAACGATGGTACATGGGAGAGTTGTTAGAAATGTCACCAGAAGGCTCAGACTAGGAGTTCCGTTCCGTGCAGCTAATTCATCGTTTAAAGCGATTTTTAGGTGAGCGGTCGATCAACGGACAACGAGAATCGTCAATAAAAAATACGGAAAATGCGTAACAACGATAAAGGTGAGTCAGCGATTGGGATGGATTGGCTCAGTGACTGAGCCTTGGATGGCTCTTTGTTCCTTCGTTGGATTTGGATCGTGCAGGACTGTGGTCCTACAAGAAACAAAAGGAATAGTTGACTCTCCGCGCCAGTCTGTTGGACTGTTCAGGGCTCTGGCCTTGGCCCCTCAAGAAACAAAAGGAAGTTGACGGACGTACGGAACTGGACGAAAAAAATGTCTCAGGTAATCTGCGCGAAATGAGCTGAAAAACTCATACCCCATCATCGGAAACGGACTTTGCCCAGAGATCGTCGATGTTTGATTTATCCCACTCATTTGTTTGGGGGTAGTAGACCATGGTGTTTCGAGAAAAGGAACTTTCTTCCTAGTCTAGTCGTCGCATTCTCGCCCAGTTCCAACACCTTGCTGATTTGAAACATTTGATGATGACCGTTAGCCTGACCTAAAAAGATTGTTTATTATTCGGTAGTTATTGAGCGTATGTAACCACACTCAAACTTTGTTTCATTGATTGTATTCCTGGATTATTTTATGTTGTGAATTGAAATGAATTTCACACGACAATGGATACGACACATCTCACCACAATCCAAGTCCACGAGTACATGCCAATTGAGTCGATATTCCTAGCATTCTTCCTATTTACATCAGCCAGGTCAAACTGGCGTCTGACACCACTTTCATTTGATAATAAGTGATGTCATGCATTATCACATATAATAGACCACGTTCACTTCATCGTTAAGTAAGACGTCTCAGCAAACCTTCCGTATAATAGGAGGGTCTTTCTTTCATTTGGACTTCATTGGTATCTCATTCAGTTAGGTGGCTACATCTGGTGATGATTTGTGCAGAGACATCAAACTAATTACACGTTTCTGACATGATCTTCACTTTACAATCACACTTCACTCACATTAGATACTTAGCAACTGACAAGTGAATACTCGGTATTCACAAGTCGGACATGTAACATGAATACAACTTCCATCAGTGGTAGCCAATCAGAACACGTCGCCACAGCATTCTACTCAGCACACCATCAGTGCATAATCATTGGCACCATCAGATAGGACGTCCTCAGGACAGCATCAACAGGACCTGGACATCCTACCGCTATGGTACAATCATGATGAACATTCCTGCGCTGCGCTAGCTCCGCCGGCATTCATGTTTTCCACTTTCCTTCGTCTCCGGGCCACCAGGCATGGGATGAAGCAGAGCCCCTGATTCCTGTCAACGAAATAGACGTCAACATAAGAGTAAAAGGTCGAATGATGATGGCGCTCAAGGGAGGTTAGACGATCACGCAAGGTGCATTTGGCCTCTTTATCTAGTGACTGTATGTACTCTGGCAAACTCGAAGTACGCCAGAGTTCGTGATGGCTTGAGTTCGATTTCTCTACCTGCCAACAGCGTACCGTTGATCACCTACCAATCAGGTATCCTATCAGGTACCGTACTTCTGTTTCCCTATTGACCAATGCTGTAGTGCGCTGCCCAAGTTCCCATACCTGCCGAAGTTCTCCGCCTCCTCCAGGGTCTCCGGCAGGTTCTCCCCATATGTCTCCGGCAACTTCAGCGTCACAACGCCGGCAACCAGCGAGAGCACGCCAAATATGGACATGGGCAGCACCTGGCTGTCCTTGCCCTGTGGTCAGAACAGAACAACATCTTAGTTTCCTGCGAGTCAAGCAGTCAGGCAAGCGTCGGCGCTTCGTAAGTGGGTGACAGCGAATGTGCGAAAAAAGTTCCGTTTCGTGTTGTTCATACAGATGGCAATACTTGCTATATGCAGTGTATTATACCTACTCGTAGGTAACACGACTCTGAAAAGGTCTTGTCAGGCCAAAAGGGCCTAACCCTACAAAACAAACAAAACAAGCTACTCGTAAGTCGTGATCCCTCAGCTGACCAGACGTTCGATTCGAACACCACTCACCAGTCCAGCGATGAAGGGTGCCAGGATGGAGCCGATCCTGCCCGCCGCCGAAGACATCCCGATGCCCGTGTTACGGACGTCGGTGGGGAACAACTCCGCGCCGTAGACGAAGACGATGGCGAACATCCCGGCGGCGCCGAACTTGCCCAGAAGCGCGAACCCGACCGTGGCCATCTCCAGACCTGCAGGGAGAGACGGAAGAGTTACTGGGAGTAAGAGAGAGAGAGAGTGTTGACCCACAATGATCATTTTGAGCTCCGAAGAGAGACTGAGACTGAGATGGTGGGCCATCCACCGCTCGCGAACCAGCCACTGGTCAGCAGCATCTATGAGCTACCTTCGCCGCCGGCTGGCAACTAGCGCCCTCTTAGACCAGACTTCGTTTCGCTGTCTTCACGAGGCTGCTCGCTAAGCCACTAGCGCCAGTAAAGCAACATCGCCCAGCGCCCAGCGACGCCAGCGCCACCTCTGACCCACCTTCATTTCCCGAGCAGAGACCGCTGGCTATACTGCCAGCTCCAGCCAGCAGGAAGCAGAGGCTGCTACAGAACTTGCGTCCCCACGGGTCCAACACCACGATGCAGAGGATGATGGAAGGCCAGTCGACCAGCTGCACCAGGATGAAGTCGAGGTAGACGTTGCCGCCCAGGTTCGTCGAGTTCATGGCCAGCCCGAAGTAGACCATGGCGG